AAAAAAAAGATCCCAATGAGGACAATTTTAATAATCCCATTGTATATCGTCTCTCGTAGCCTTTATGACTTGAGTAATTAAGCCTGTAAGGGTTTAAAATTTGGTGCCCTAAAGTCGTTTGATTTGGGAGTTATCGGCTTAAAACTCGTTATAGGGGTCATTTAGAAAGTTTAAGGGGGAGACGTTTGTACAAAGGGTGATTAAAGAATAAAGTTATATATAAAAAATTATATGAAAAAAAAAAGAAGAAGAAAAATTGAAATCGCATGACTTGATTAAGCCTTGAACACTTGTTTTATAGAATTAAACATTTGATAAGGGGTTAGTAACTTGGTTGATTCCTAGAAGTTGAAGCAGTAAAAAATATAAGGAGAATCCTCATTTGTTGATATTTTGAACTGCAACCAGTAAAATTTAACCAAACTCGAGCAGTGTGAGAAATTAGGAGTGGAAATTAACCTTAGAATACACCTTGGGAAGAGAAAAGAAAATAAGTTTGGGCGTGTGTGAATCCCACGAGCGAAGTAAGGAAATAATTGACTTTAAAGGTTGGGAATTGGATCAACTTATTATTGTACGGCGTTGCATTTGACTCTCCACACACACCCGTTTGCATTGAATATGTGAGAATTTGACTTGTACATTATAATTTTGAAGTAATTCATGCAATTGAGGCTATGTTTTCAATCTTGAGCTGTGGAGGCAAGGTGTCCAGCAAAAGGTGTTTTTAAATAATCTGTGCTTTAATTGTACTCGTGTGATTCTTAATGATTTTCTTTGGTTTGATGTTTGCTCGAGGACAAGCAAAAGATTAAGTTTGGGGGTGTTTGATGAGTGATTTACACTCATTATATTATGTCATTAATTTCATGATTTCGCCATCTTGGAGAGTATTTTAGAATTGCTAATAAGTGATTTTGGTGTTGTTTTGTAGATTGATGGAAGTGGAGAAAACAATAGCTAAAAGAGGCCAAAAGAAGGAAATAGGCAAAAGTTAGCGAAATTGGATGAAATGACCAAAATGTAAGAGATCCAAAGTTCGAGAATTAAAATGTAATTAATCAAAAGTCGTGTCGAAACTCGTGATGAAGATCTAAGAGTGCTAGGAGTCAATTAGATGAAGGAAGGTGTCCAAGGGATCAAATTTAGTCAAAATATGATCACTAATCATTTTCCAACCGAAAAGTTACGCGCCGAAGTTTTGGTCTCATATTGAGACTCATGTTTGACATAGAAAACGATCGAATTGAAGAATGATACCTGAAGCAAAGTTGTAGCACTTTGAATTAGCTTTCCAACGCATTTAGAATCACTTCAATCGGATATCGAACGAGAAAGTTATGCTGAAAATACTGAAAGACGCACAGAATGCCGTTTCGGGGGTACCGAGTGCCGTAGCGCCCATCTTGCTAAAAACAAGCAGAAAGTCAGTGCCCAGGCACCACTAACACAACGCCCAGGCACTGTATTCTGAAACAGAAGAAAATTATGATTTTATAATATTTTCTCGGCCCAATTAGTAACCTGTTGTTCCCTAAATTTCAAGACACTGTAAATACACAATTGAAGACCTAAATTAAGGAAGAGCCGCACACTAAAAATCTGTGGGATCAAGCCACGCACGGGATTTGGAGACGGCAAAACAGGGAGTCAGCTGCCCAAAAATTCTGGGAATTAGAGAGAATCTGGAGAGGAAGAGCCGACAACTTCAAGAGGATTGAAAGGAGTTCAGCCGACCAAACGCAACGGGAAGGCAGAACTCAAAATTTTGACAGGTTTACTTCTTCAATTAATCAATTTGGTGGAGGGCTAGACAATTTTGAAAGAGTCAAAGGGCAAAAACTAATTGAGAGGCGTGGAAAACAAGGGAAGAATCAATTTACTCGTTTAATTTATTTTCTTTCTTCTTCATGTTTTACACTATAATTTGTATGAATTTAACGTCTTTAATTATGCACTAAACAAATTACCTAGGGTTGATGTAACCGAACTCAATATTATGATTTGATGAAATTCTATAATTATTTAGTTTAGTTTTCTCGTATATATTTAATTGTATCATGATTTTAATGCTTTCGATTGCCTGATCAACAATTGGATAATTTGATGCTCTAAATTTGGCACTCGAGAGAGGAAAATTTAGGCATGATCTAAAATTAATATAACATAGAATTTATAGGTTTCGAAAGAAGTTATAAATATATGAAGCTTACTCCACAAAAGAATCGAGTCTTTTATAAATTCGAGATTTTCAATTTCGAACAGAGATGTTGGAATTGGGGTCTAGGGTTAATTTCTAATCGGTGCTCGAGAGAGGGGGTTAAAAATACATTAGGGTTCTTGATTTTAAATAGGGGAAAACTAATCGAAGTAATTGGAATTCGTTGAATCATAATTGAGAGTTAGGTGAAATCAATCCCTAGGCCTTCTCATTTGATTATTTGCATTCTTCAATTTTATCGCATCCAATCACGTTAGATTTAGTTTATATCATTCACTCATATAACTTTCATTCATAAAATCATCAAATTGTCTAAATAAAGTAGAAATTTACATAATTATAGTACTTAGTCAAAATTAAATTACAACCCCTGTGGGTTCGACATCTTTCTTCAAAACTATATTACAAAACTTGATATTGTATGCTTGCGGTTAAATCACGTTACATAAAACGCGTGGCAGGTCACGTATTCGTTGGTCACAAATCACAAATTTTATAAGCTAACTTATTTTATGGTCATAAAATATCTAATTACATAATTACAAATTATTTTTGGTTACAACTTAACAAATTTTTAGATCACATATTATTTATTTCATTAGTAAAATATTATGTATTGGTCACACATTAACCAATTTATTGATCACAAACAATCAAATCATTTTTGTGACCACCACAAACACTTGTAATCACCACCTCACCACCACCACCAGCTGCATCGTCGTCGAAATACCGCCGCCAAAACCATCATCACCATCTCCCAACAATAAAATGATCATCTCAAACACCGCAACCAAACACCACCACCGTCAGCCTACTACTCCACAACCCCAAAAAAAAAAAAAAAAAATCCTCAAATTTGCCATTGAGCACTCACCACACAACAAACTTTAGCACCGTCATCGCTGCCTGATGGCTACATTACTAAACACTCGGCACCAGATCCCAATTGATGTGTGCACCACGTGTGACCACCACCACCATAAATAAATACGCCAAAACCACCACATCACTTATGACCATTGCTTGTATCATCACCATCACCATCACCATCGCCACAAACACAACCCAACAACCCATCACAAACGCACCGTCGCCACCACATATGTAAACCCACCACAACATACGCATTGCCATCAACATAGCCCAACAATCATTGCTGCAAGAGCTTTGGTACGGGTCACGAATCGCTGCAGCAGTAAAGAACCGGCACTACCTGTGGAATAAAGCTGTCAGAGAAGTGGTATAGAGCATCAATCGGAGCACCTATGGAATGAAGTCACTCTATGCAACAGCAGCAAGTGCAGCGGTGACGCACCATGGCACCACTGCGCGCGAGGTAGTACTGCGTCACTTCGGGCAGTAGTAGCATCGCCTTGCGTAGAAGTACTCCGATCGCAAAGGAGGCGTTGGTTTCGATGCCGAATGAGGGAAAATTGCCTCTTGATCTCCGTCCCAAGAAGGGCAATTATAATGTGAGAGGGGGGGACGGGGGAAATTAATTAGGGTTTGTGTAGGGATTTCAATTGAGTCGAGCCGACTCGACTCGTCAAAGTTCGGCTCATCGAGCTCGAAGAGCGGCTCGTGGGCCAAGCTCACGAGTCAAGCCCACGAGCCGGCTCGTCCAAAAAAGTGGAAAAAAATTAAAATTTTATCAATAAAATTTGAAAAATTTGCAAAAAAAATAAAAATAAAAATAAAAATAAAAATTCACAAACTCGCGAGCCGCTCGTGGGCTCGGCCCGACCTGGCCCATGAGCTCGTGGGCTTAGCCGAGCTCGCCCACAAGCAACGAGCCGAGCACGAGCTCGGCTCGCCACAAGCCCGAGCCGAGCTCGTGGGTTAACAAAGCTAGCTCGGCTCGGCCCGGCCCACTGCCTCCCCTAAGTTTGTGATAAAATTTGTATATATAATATTTAAATTTAAATATGAAATATCTGATTTTTGAATAATAAAACTTTAACCCTGATTTTAGAATATTGATATTTTATTTAAAAGTATGGGTGAGATGTAATTTCCACTAGATATTTTTGCTCTCCGCGAAAGAAATGAATTCATAGGCCCCTAACCGGCCCAATTTTGTGACCCGAGCCCACGACCCGACATCCTTGTCAGACGGCCGAATCCCACGCGAATCTCGCTCCTTCTCTCTCCTCATCTCATCCCGTCGCTTTTCCCCCACCTTCCATAAATCAACGGTTCAGATTCGCCGACGCTCCCATCTTGAATTTGCCGGTGGACGTTCCTCCCGGACTCCACCCATAGCCTATACATACGTATCCATCGATCAATTTTTTTATTCTAAAATTGTAATCTTTATGGCGTCTGATGATGAGGATGAAGTCCTTGCTCAATTCCTGGAATCTGAAGTCCTCGCCGAACTCTCCGATCAGGTTCTTATGTTTCTGACACGATCTTGGATTTTTCAGAATTTTGTTTAAATTGTTGTACTTTATTTTATATACGTTGCATATACGGGATATGGGGGATATATATTTTTGTCCTCAATTGCGTTTAGCACTTTTGTTATTTCATTGAAGAGTTGGGGCTTCGAGGTTTCCAGTTGTTTTAATATTTTTTTTGCTCTAAATTCTCATTATATTTTTCTGATTTGTCTATGTATTGTTGTCTTATAAGTTATAATTTAAAGATAAAATTATCAGGCTTAAGATTTACACTAATATGTAGTGATAAAAAATTAAAGGTTTTGGGGGGCCTAAATTCCCTATTTCCAAGTTTCCTGTTTCTTTTAAGAGGGTGTCATGCTTAACTATGGAACATATTTTTATATTTGATGAATAAATTGTTTGATTTGAAATACTATGCACATCACTAATGTTTTATCATTTGAAATGCAATTATTTTACAAGTTATATGTTGATTATTGGGAAAATTGCCCTTTATAACACAACACATTGAAGGATTGGATAAGCTTGTGAGTGCTAGATAGCTGATAAGTGTGTTTGTGTGGCATGCATTGGAGAAACATCCAAAATGAAGATTTCTATTGTTCAATATGGATATGGTCTACAAAGTGTTGGACACGTGGTCGGGTCAACAGGGTAGGATCTGCGTTTGACGTGTTCGAACAACGTTATCGACGAAAAGGGACATGTTTGCCTTCTGGAAGGCACTTGTGCATTTTTCACTTTTACTGAAATTGAGTCTTTAGGATTCCTTTTGTTCTAAGATTACAAACTTTTACAATATTTATAAGATTTCTGTGTGATATAGACATGTTTACCAGTGCATTTGAGCATAACTATGGTCTCTTGGATGATGTGCTGTAGGAAGAGTTGAAGGCAGCGGAGGAGACAGTTGAGTCGGAGGACGATGAAGCAGAGGAGGAAGACAGAGATGGAAAGAGATTGCATATTGAAGATGGTTTGCTAAGTGAAGAGGAAGAGAAGAAACAGCAAGAAGCAAAGAGAATCAGAGTTGAGGAAGGTGAAATCAGTGATGAGGGATTATCAAGGGCATTAATATCGTCATCTTCATCATCATCCATGGAGTTGGAAGCTGAAGCTGCCTTGTTGCCTCCAAAGAATGGTGGGATAATCAAAGTCGACAATAATGATGTTGACAGGGAGAGTAGGGAAAGTATACCTGTATCCAGGAGGATTGAAACTGGGGTTTGTAGTAAAGTTCCTCCTGAATTATTCCATCACATCCTCAAATTTCTCTCATCAGAGGTATCTAGATTTGCATTTAAATTTTTTGTCATTTGTGTGTTTTTACTATTTCCATAATTTGATTCTTTATTCTTTTAATGAGTTGCTACTTATTATGTTCATTCATCTGTCATATTTGGACTGCAGGATCTTATTGCGTGTTCATTGGTGTGTAGATTCCTAAATTATGCTGCTTCAGATGAGTCCTTGTGGCGTCGCCTGTGAGTAATTTTATGTTCCCTTTCACCTCATCCACAGCTGATACTTTTCCGTATTTGCACGTGCACGGTTGATAACTATTGCTATTTCAACTTCTGAATTTTCATGGTTTTTCCTTCTTTCCTTTGTGAGTGTTAGATTTTTGTACATGGTGCTGTTTTCTTCATTTTCCACATTTTAAATGCTCACTTACTAATAAAAAACTTCATAAGAAGTTTTAGGAGGTACAAATACAGCTATAAATGCAGAAAAGTTACTTGTATTAACAGGAGAAAATTGAACTTCCTGAATATTTATTTTGATATCTTCTGGAGTGCAGTAATTCTAAGGAATATAACTCTATTTCGTACGGACACTTGTTACTGCATGTAGCCAGAGTTTCAGTATTGCTCATGCTCGTGCTTATGTCACTTGTTTATGTGAGGAACAATAAGGTTTTTCATTACTTTGTTAAGCATTTGCCTTTTTATTTGGTTCCAATCTAATAATTAAATCTAGTTTCCTGGTGGTGTGCATCTTATAGTGTTAGGAATTTGTCAGTGTTTGAGCAAAGCAAAGGCCATTAGTTTACACATGCATCTGACAAATTTCCTTCCTTCCCTCTGCTGGTGGATGTTTATGCCTTTGAAAACTTGTACTAATTCTGACGTCAAAGTTGTGCTTCTAACCGTAGTTGACCTCATGTTTTAAATGTGGGTATCCTCCTATTAACTTAAAACAAATATGCTTATATGTCTACTCCAATGCACTCAATTAAAGAAAGATAATATGTCTAGTGTTTGTGCAGATATTGCATGCGGTGGGGTCTGCTGCCTCCAAAAAAGCCACGGGAATGTGCTTGGAAGAAACTTTACATTCAGGTAATTTGAGATTCGAGTTTGAATTCTATGATTTATAAAATTGTGTATATCCTTATATCAATCCCTCGTAATGGGAGGATTAAAGGTCGGTACATCAAATGTAATTATTGTTACATTTGATGTTAAAAATGACGCATTTAACAATTCAATCTCTTGTGACCATTAGGTGCATGTGTGAGAGCATATCTTCATAGTGAATCCATAATTCTGAATATTTCGAACTTTGTGATGGCTACATTTATGACACCATACAAGATTGAATTTTAACACACATGTTATTTTTTTTTCCTGCAGCGTGATGAAGAAGATATGGCAGAGTTTGTTAGGGGTTGCCCTTCTGAATTTAAAGAGTATTACATCCAAATGCAGGCGGCAAAGAGAAGCCAAGCACCTCTTCCTTCTCAGGTAAGCAGCAAATACTGTTTGATGAAATGTTTATGACACATCTAAACGTGGATTGATCGAAAAATGCAGTTCTTGAAGATATTTCAGACTAGATTACATCTAAATTCAAATACTACAGATTATTGTGTTTATGTTACAGTAATAATACTATTGACCTATAAACGATTCACTGTTAAGAATACATTTATATACATATTTTTACTTCTTTACACCCGTCCTATGAAAGATTAATCAAATTAATGAACAGTTAATAATCATAGTTTTGTCTTGTGAACAACCCATTCCTGAGTTCCGAATTTTTTATTCTCCCTCCAAACATGGGCACAGACATGGGCCGTTGAAAGGAAAGATCCTTAGATGTGCATATCTGAGATTATTATTTCGATAGTCTAATACATGTTAATGTTATGATGTGGAACTTTAATGACCAAAATAATTATCTGGCTAATTGCAAGGACTGGTGATTATATTTCTATTGCTGTGGTTTATTTACATTCTTTCTGTCAGATTATGTTATTATGTTGACTATTTTTTAATTTATTATCTATTATATGATTATTAGGTGAATGATGACCATGTGATTCTTGACAAAACACTTGCTGATCAAGTCTCCATATGGAAGAGTAGCCGAGGCCTGGCTGACACAGTGGTAGCTGATCATGCTTGCTCTGGGGAAAGTTGCACGTACTATCAAATTGGTGATGTATTTGTCTGTGAGAAGACTGGGCATGTTCATGGTAAGAAGTGATCTTTTGTTTTTGGAAAATGTGAAGTAGCGATAAATATTTTATAAACAAAACATTTTTTTTTTTTTTGAAGGATGTAAACTCCTATATACTTGTTACCCTGGATATTTGAAACTTTTGGTTTTTCCTTGTTTTGTACAGTTTGCGATGACACATGCAGAGAAGTTATTCCGGATCCCACGAACGAGCTTTTGGTGTGCACCATTTCTGGACGCTGTTTTGACAGATTGCTGTCACCAGCTGAAATGGAACCTGATGCAGTAAGACATTATACTCTTTTTTCTTGTCTTTGCTTGTATGTGGTTCTAAGATTTCTATATTGCTATTGCTATCTTATCAACCGATTTCTCTCCTTCGTGTCCACAATCTTGAAAATAGAAAATGCGTCACAAGGAAACACACAAGTATCTATCTGAATTTTATTTTTAAATATTCCATCGGAACGGTTTTGCTATGAGTACATCCGGGTTGACACTCCACAGGGGGGTGTGGCTACGATTATTTTGTTAGGCTCGGGCCCCACCCCCATGTGCGTGGAGTGTCATCCAAGGTGTCAACCCGGATGTACACACAGTATTATTGCCATCGGAATAATGCAAATTAAATAAATGACATGTACTTTTTTACTATGATGATAAAACATGAAATACAATTATTTTTTATTATTGGTATGGAACTAGTGTGATCTGATGCTTTGACCCCGACTCTCCATTGTCATCTTTTAATCCGATGCTTGTCTTATGCGGTTGAAAATTCAGGAACAGCAGCAAGGTGGTGCTACTGATGAAGCAGAGCCATTTATGGGATCTGGCCGGTTTGGTACGAATCTTTGTAGTATCTCATAAACTTGTGAAGTGATTTTATATTCTTATTCTTTTGACTGATGGCATTTACGTGTTTCAGCTCGAGCATACCTACTCGGATATAATTGCAAGGACGAGCAAGAGCTAGAAGCTTGTTTGAGGTTTTGCTGATCTCGTTTTGCATGTATAGCTACTGTATGCGTAAAAATCGTTTGGCTGTTAGCAAAATGGCTTGGAACATGTTCCAACTTTTAAATATTTAATAAGATTACAGTTGCTTAGAAACTTTGATAGTGTGATATAGTGTTTGTTTGGGAAATATTACTGGAGTGAAATATGATTTTTTTTATGACAATGTGTGGTTAAAAAAGTAAGGAAAATTTAAAGATTCCACATGTAAAGTTGAAAATGAGTTTGAAGAAAAATGATTTCAAATAAGATGTGCCAAACAAACCCTTAATGTACAGACTTCTTCACTATTTGCACATTAATGCTCTCCATGGATCAGGTAAAATTAGAGATCAATTTGTGCTAGATGGTGCAAATTAACATGGGAAGGGGAAATGTTTTAATCATTTATTCATGGGATTGAGCATAAAATTACAGTGCCATATTATATATTTGGAATAAGAGTGATTGATGTGTAGGTACAGATATCGAGCTCGAACTGAGACGGGCTTGATCATCTGGTGGCAATAGAATGTCTTCTTGAGCTTATGGAGTGTTGACCTCGTAGCCATTTTGATGCCTAAGTTAGTATTAGGGAATAAAATAGTTATGTAGAATGTAAAATGATTAATTGTGAACGCTTGTTTAATAAGAATTGAACTGGTTGAATGGTAGCAAGACTTGTAGATGCAGTTTGAATCGTAAACAAAAATAAATATAAGATCTCAGAAGTGAAATTTTGTTCGATTTAACGACTGAGTTCGTAATTGAAGATTGAAAGCTAACATTTTAAAACATTTTGTCCTTGTTTGAGCCTCATTCTTTTCATAAAAATGAATTTTATGAATAGTGTATTGATGAGAAATATGTGGTTAAAAAATAAGGAAATTTTTTGAATTTGCTTGTAATATTATTTTATTGAAAAATATGTGATTGAAATGATGTCAAATCACTCTTTAAAAATGTAATTTTTCCAAAAAATGGGACTCAAACATCGACTTTATAATCTCCAAGTGAATTGGGCAAGATTAAAATTGGATTTTCGTATATATATTATTCTAATTCTTAAAACACATCTAATGCAACGTCTACGAATTGAACAATTTTTGTCGTCATGAAAGATTCGTTATTTAAAACCACCATTGTATTCTTCGCCAAAATAGTAAGAAGCTCATGAATACAAGATAATCGTGCCACTAACTGGATTTCTAATCCTAAAAGAGCCATTTTGCTCATCTCGAGAAATTCAGCGTTTGGTTCCTCATAAAAATTAGCAGACTGTCACAATCCTCCAAATCAATCTCGATTAATGGAGCAAAATCATATGCGACTAATCTATCTTACAAGTTGCATCTATACAACAACCTGAATTTTTATACTCCATCAATCCCTTAAGGGCAGTGCTCTGCGCACAGCTTCCTCACATGAGGGGATCGTACCCTGTACGGAGAAAAACCCAACCCTTAATTGGCAGCTACCGTTAGGCCCTCAAAACCTTCTCCATCCTAAAATTTTCAATCGACGGCTCTATACATGTAATTAGACCCTGACTAATCTCACCATCGTGCTGCCTCGCATAGTTGCAAAGCATGCACTATGGCCCCCACCTCGTCTCATCTCCATAAAGGTCAGATGTGATCTGTTGTTGATGGATAATCAACATGCCAAAACTTAAGTTGTTGATGGATTTGTATTAATTCATCTCTCTCGTCTCTATTATAAAAATAGACACCATGATCTCTAACCTAACCTCTCCGAAAACATATATAACAATAAATACGTGATCATAAATGTGAATTCGTGCAAGTTACGATAAAATCTCAACGATCTGATGAGCACCGGTTTTCATGATGTGTCATATCAATTCATTGGTGGACAAAAAATTTTGTGAGTTCCATCATTTGAATTAAACTTATTATCCACCAATGAATTAATATGACATCACCAATACTCAATATAAGATGAGCACCGGTACTTGTTAAATCATCTCTCTCTCTTTTTGATTGTGTATAAAAATTTGTGTTCTTGCTTCAATATAATCGTGCTTTGATATTCTCTCGAAATTCAATTTATTTCATAATAGTGTATGTGTCTATGTATGTAATTCGCAGTCCGTTTAAAAAAATGTTCGCCAGTTAATCCTCTTACTCAATGATGTTGAAGCCTATGATGTTATCATGGAATCACATGGTGATGATTCAACAAGCTAACAATTATTGTTTTTGTCTTTCGGCCATCATCAATTTTTGAATTGCTTATTCAATTTAGGAAATGACATTAATGGAGAACGTGAAATAAGTTGAATTCAAAAAGGGTTAGTTACAAAATGTGGTATGTGGGCTATTTTTTAAAGGAAGTATATGTAAATATATTTCATATGTCATCTAGTATTTTTGGTTTTAATAATCTAACATAGTAGATTATGAAATCCTTTTTTTGGCATAATGCAGATACGATATTTTCCGTTTAGGAAAGTACCTTTAAAATTAAGAATCTTTTGAAATATCATATGAAAAGTATTTTAAAAATAAAAAAATACTGTATAAAATTAAGTATCAGTTTTTTTTTTTTTTTTTTTATGAAAAAGTGACACAATGTCAATTTTTAAAGTTAAGTGTCACTTTTTTTTATTAAACAATGACATACAATCACTGTTACTAAAAAAGAATGGTGTTTGTAACTTAAAAAGTGATAAAAAAAAATGACATACTTAAAAAAGTGATAGAAATTCAAAAAAGCGACTTACTAAAAAAAAGTGACAAAACACCAGTTAAACATTGAAATAAGCTCAATAATGCGATGGAAGTATTAAAAAAAAAAAAAATTGGTGAGACAACCACCGACTCTCCTCTTGTTTCGTTCACCACCATGCATCTTAAGTCAGTTCATCAACAAAACACTAATCAAATCGTTAAACATCTCTAAGTCAATTCATCTTCATGGTCATCATCAACGTCATCTACCAACTCAACAAACCCATTAATCATATAAAAAAATTTTGAGAGTAAAAAGTACTGTATAAATGTCCATGATGTTACCAGATATTACTTGTTAGTCCTTACAGTCTTCAGATTGCAATTTGATCACATTTATGTTAGAATAACATAATACTAATATTTATGATGATATAGAACAAATAAAAAGGCCGACTACCATAACCAGAGGTGTCATTCTTCATCCAAGTCGAGTTCGCCGATCGTCTCCTCTTGTCAAAAACAACTTCGAAAGACTTGTTCTCAGCATCACCATTGCTGCCATCCTAAGAACTGGCACTAGAGCTAAATCTGGTTGTTCCTCAAGCCATCAAAAGTACTACAATGGACTGCAATATCTTTGCTCCCGTTAGCATAAGAGGCTCAAACAGTTAAACAGATGAAATATCAAACCCTCAAACGGATCATTAAGTGAGTCTTTCCTCACATGAAATTCAAAACAAAGAAGTACAGGACATAGAATTAATACAAGTACCATGTCAAGAAATAGTACAATTGAACTAAAAACACAAGCATGCACATCCTAAGTGATCCTCAATGTTTTAGTAGTAGCCATTTACTTCTACTGGTCAACATAATGCATCACAAATCATGGTGGCGGAGATTAGTAATGCAATCGTGTATCGGCAGTCATTGGCAGAGCAACCCATATTAGTGTTTCTTGATGGAGCAATCAATATAAAGGCAAGCTAACATACTTTATACTGTCACATATAAAGAACTTATTATCATCATACATTTATATTATTTTCGTATCAAATAAAAGTGAAAGCAAAGTAGAACACAAAATTAGTCTTCAGCTTTTATCCCTTTGGTGATGAATAAACTTGAAATCCACGTTGTAGAGTTAGAATCTAAATATTGAATGTAAATTTGAAAAAATCTTACAAGAATAGTGTGGCAACAGCGTTGATGAATCCAAGTCCAAAGAAAAATAGCTCCACTGCTCCATATATACCACCTGAGGTACAGGAGAAAATTCAAATGTCCCCACCAATCAAATTAAATGATTTGCATTCTATCTTTCCCTTTGATAACTAACTCTACAACTAAATAGGCCACAAATGTGAAAACAAATCAGCACAAACTGGCCCAAAATAAAGAAACACAAGTAAAGACAATCGACATAGCAATGGAGATAAGAAGAATGCACTTGGAGAGCAAAATGGAAATCTGGTGTTGGAAGTTTTGGCCGGATTTGTGGCTTCTAGTTTGAAGCTTTCTCAGGTTTTGGTTTGGGGGTGTTGGACGTATTATTTGCGGTGAAAGGATTTTATTTAATTTTAGAGGTAGTTTTCTAATTTGTCATTTTTTGAGGGTAGAGGGCCTAATTTCCTCCTTTTAAAAAGTGGAGATTACATGAATTAAGTGACTTCAAGATCTCAATTCAAATTCAAGAGGTATAAGTTATTTATTTTTTTTTTTCAAAAATTAGATATAATTAAAATTGTAAATATTGATAATAATATGAGGGATTCATTTAATAGGCCCAGTCAAACAAAATTTTTATTTAAAAAGACTATGACCTATCTTTTTTATTTAGATAGCCTTAGGATACAAAGAAAAGGAAAATACAATTTTTAAATTACTAAAATATCCTTATATGTAAAAGACATAAAGTCCCAATTCCCCTTTCAATTTCCATTTAACCCCAATTCAATTTTGGCTTCCTTTCTTCCACAGTTGGATCGGACATTCTCTGCTTTTCTTCTTCTTCTTTTTTTATCATATTCTTCTTCATGAAACCCCAAAATATAATATTATCATTCTCTTAAATACTCACTTGGTTGAAATAAGTAATCAAAGTTTATAATATTCTTGATGGGTATTTGAAGAAGAAGAGAAGGTAATGTTAAATTTCAATATTTTGGTTACTTTCTTTTTTAATTTTTCTGAATCACATGTTGTGATTCGTGTTTATGGTGTTCATTTGTTAGTAATGGTTTTATTTTTTTATTTTTTTTTATCATCGAATTATAGATTTGATATGGGTTGCTTTCCCATTTTCTCATTAGCTCTTTTTTTTAAATGAATATGCTGGTAAACACATCTTTGACTATTCTATTTGTTGTTCTATTATGAAACATATATTTCATTTTTTCCGTCCAGAATGACTTACATATCGTTTTCTACAAACCATAACGACATACATTTCGTTATCAATAATGTACGAAATTTGATATTTGATAAAAAA